TTGACCAGGATGGTCTCGATCTCTTGACCTCGTGATCCACCCGCCTCGGCCTCCCAAAGTGCTGGGATTACAGGCTTGAGCCACCGCGCCCGGCCTTCATCTGACACTTTTATACTAGAGACAGGGTGTTGCTCTGTTGCCCAGGCTGGAGTGCAGTGGCATGATCATAGCTCATTGCAGCCCTGAACTCCTGGCTCTAGCAATCCTCCTGCCTTGACTTCCAAAACACTGGGATTACAGGTACAAGCCACCATGCCTGGCTGTCATCTGACTTTTTTAAAGGACCACTTAGACTGTTGAGTAAGAAGGCAAGGGTAGCAGAGGGCGGCCCACCAGGAGATGACTGCAATAATCCAGAGGAGAGAAGAGGGTGTCTTGGGTAGGGGGATAGCAGTGATGAGATGCAGATGATAAGAAGGATCAGATCCTAATATACATATGCTTTTTTTTTTGAGACAGATATATATCCGTTGAGGTCAGAAGTTTGAGACCAGCCTGGCCAACGTGGTGAAACCTCCATCTCTACTAAAAACACAAAAATTAGACAAGCATGGTGGTGGCCACCTATAATCCCAGCTACTTGGGAAGCTGAGGCAGGAGAATCACTTGAACCCGGGAGGCAGAGGTTGCAGTGAGCCAGGATCATGCCACTGCACTCTGGCCTGGGTGACTGAGTGAGACTCCAAATCAAAATCCCAGCTACTCAGAAGCATGAGGTGGGAAGATCGCTTGAGCCCAGGAGATCAAGACTACAGTGAACTGAGGCTGCACCACGGCATTTCAGCCTGGGCAACAGAAGGAGAGAGTCTCAAAAAAATCCAAAAAAGAAAACACACACACACACACACACACACACACACAAAGGCAGTGTGTTCATCTGGGTGGAAATGATATTTAGGAATGTGAGTAGCCATCCAGTGGTGTTTAACAGATGTTTTTACGGCCAACTTTCTAGAAAAAATAAATGTGCATATATATTAATACATGTTTATTACAGATTTTTCTGATATAAGGTATACAATTTACAGATGATAAGATATATGTTTCTCTTTTTTTCCTTTTCCTTTTTTTTTTTTTTTTTTTTTTGACACAAAGTCCCACTCTGTCACTGGGTTGAAATGCAGTGGCACAATCTCGGTTCACTGCATTCTTGACCTCCTGGGCTCAAGCGATTCTCGCACCTCAGCCTCCTAGTAGCTAGGACTACAGGCAGGCAGCAAACTTCTTTTTTCTTTTTTTGTGAGGTGTGGTTTCACTGGTATGGAACTCCTGGGCTCAAGTGATCTACCCAGAGGCGTGGATTACAGGCATGAGCCACCTTGCCCAGCCTAAAACATGCATATATTTCTAATTCCATAAAGCAAGTTGATTCTAACAGAATGTTTTCATTGTTTTTTTTTTGTTTGTTTTTTGAGACGGAGTTTCACTCTTGTCAACCAGGCTGGAGTGCAGTAGTGTAATCTCGGCTCACTGCAATCTCTGCCTCTCAGGTTCAAGCGATTCTCCTACCTCAGCCTCCCAAATAGCTGAGATTAGCCGACATCGCGCTACTGCACTTCAGTCTGTGAAACCAGAAACCCTGTCTCAAAAAATAAAAAAGAGAGAAAGTAATACTGAAAATGTTAATAAAAGTGTTTCGTGGCAGGGCGCCTTGCTCACACCTGTAATCCCAGCACTTTGGGAGGCCGAGACGGGCGGATCACTTGACGTCAGGAGTTGTTTGAAAATATCAACCAATATTCATATTAGATTTAAGAGTTCAGGCCGGGCGCGGTGGCTCAAGCCTGTAATCCCAGCACTGTGGGAGGCCGAGGCGGGTGGATCACGAGGTCACAAGATCGAGACCATCCTGGTCAACATGGTGAAACCCCATCTCTACTAAAACTACAAAAAATTAGCTGGGCATGGTGGCACGTGCCTGTAATCCCAGCTACTCAGGAGGCTGAGGCAGGAGAATTGCCTGAACCCAGGAGGCGGAGGT